ATTGCTCAATTTTTGTGTACCGCTTGTAACGCTATCATTGCGTATTTTTGGACGACTTGTTGGTCCCATATCGAAGTATTTTTTCATAAGGAAGAGATCTAGACCTAAAACGAGCCGATTGGTAGACTGGTTCAAAAGTTATAAGCCAAAAACCACGACGACTTTAAAAATGACGAGTATTTGGTCGAAAAAATTGCTCAATTTTTGTGTACCGCTTGTAACGCTATCATTGCGTATTTTTGGACGACTTGTTGGTCCCATATCGAAGTATTTTTTCATAAGGAAGAGATCTAGACCTAAAACGAGCCGATTGGTAGACTGGTTCAAAAGTTATAAGCCAAAAACCACGACGACTTTAAAAATGACGAGTATTTGGTCGAAAAAATTGCTCAATTTTTGTGTACCGCTTGTAACGCTATCATTGCGTATTTTTGGACGACTTGTTGGTCCCATATCGAAGTATTTTTTCATAAGGAAGAGATCTAGACCTAAAACGAGCCGATTGGTAGACTGGTTCAAAAGTTATAAGCCGAAAACGACGACGACTTTGAAAATGACGAGTTTTTTGGTCGAATAAATTGCTCAAAGTTTGTGTACCTCCTGTAACTCTAATTTTGCGTATTTTTGGACGACTTGTTGGTCCTATATAAATGTGTTTCTCCACAAAAAGATATTTAGACCATAAACAAGCTGATTGGTCTACTGGTTTGGAAGTTATAAGCCAAAAACCACGACTAAAAATGACGAGTATTTGGTCGAAAAAACTGCTCAATTTTTGTGTACCGCTTGTAACTCTATTATTGCGTATTTTTGGACGACTTGTTGGTTCCATATCGAAGTATTTTTCCATAAGGAAGGGATCTAGACCTAAAACAAGCCGATTGGTAGACTGGTTCAAAAGTTATTAGCCGAAAACGACGACGACTATGAAAATGACGAGTTTTTTGGTCGAATAAATTGCTCAAAGTTTGTGTACCTCCTGTAACTCTAATTTTGCGTATTTTTGGACGACTTGTTGGTCCTATATGAATGTGTTACTAGACGAGGAAGCGATCTAGACCATAAACAAGCTAATTGGTCTACTGGTTTGGGAGTTATAAGCCAAAAACCACGACGACTTTGAAAATAACAAGTTTTTTGGTTGAAAAAATTTTTGAATTGTGTGTACCTTTTGTAACTCTATTCTTGCGTATTTTTGGATGACTTTTTGGACGTCTATCAATGTATTTTTTGATCAGGAAGAGATCTAGTACAAAAACAAGCCAATTGGTAGACTGGTTCACAAGTTATAAGCCAAAAACGACGACGACTTTAAAAATTACGAGTTTTTTGGTGGAAAAAATAGCTCAAATTTTGTGTACCTCATGTTACTCTATTTTTGCGAATTTTTGGACGATTTGTTATCCCTAAATCGAACTATTTTTTGACAAGAAAGAGATCTAAATCAAAAACAAGCTGATTAGTCAACTGGTTCAAAAGTTATGAGCCAAAAACCACGACGACTCTGCGAATAATAAGTTTTTTGGTCGGCAAAATTACTCAAATTTTGTGTACCTCTTGTAACTTTATCCTTAAGTATTTTTGGACGACTTGTTGGTCCTATATAAATGTGTTTCTTCACGAGGAAGAGATCTAAAACAAAAACGGGCTGATTAGTGGAGTGGTTCAAAAGTTATGAGCCAAAAACCACGACGACTTTGAAAATGACGAGTTTTTTTCTCGAAAAAAATGCTCAATTTTCGTGTACCTCTTGTAACTAGATTTTTGCGTAGTTTTAGACGACTTGTTGGTCGTATATCGAAGTATATTTCCATAAGGAAGAAATCAAGACATAAATCAAGCCGATTGGTAGACTGGTTCAAAAGTTATAAGCCGAAAACGACGACGACTTAGAAAATGACGAGTTTTTTGGTCGAAAAATTTGCTCAAATTTTGAGTACCTCTTGTAACTTTTTCCTAGCGTATTTTTAGACGACTTGTAGATCCTATATAAATGTGTTTTTACACGAGGAACAGATCTAGACGAAAAACCAGCTGATTGTTATACTGGTTTGGAAGTTATAAGCCAAAAACCACGACGACTTTGAAAATAACAAGTTTTTTGCTCGAAAAAATTGCTCAAATTTTGTGTACCTTGCGTAACTCTATTCTTGCGTATTTTTGGATGACTTTTTGCCCTATATCGATTTTTTTTTGATCAGGAAGAGTTCTAGTTCAAAAGCAAGCCAATTGGGATACTGGTTCAAATTTTATAAGCCAAAAACTACGACGACTTTGAAAATTACGAGTTTTTGAAACGAAAAAATTGCTCAAATTTTGTGTACCTCTTGTAACTCTATTTTTGCGTATTCTTGTACGACAGATTCGTCCTATATCGAAGTATTTTTCCATAAGGCAAAGATCTAGACCAAAAACGGGCTGATTGATTGACTATTTCAAAATTTATGAGCCAAAAACCACGACGACTTTGGAAATAACGAGTTTTTTAGTCAAAAAAATTGCTCAAATTTTGTGTACCTCTTGTAACTCTATTTTTGCGTATTTTTGGACGACTTGTTGGTCCTATGTCGAAGTATTTTTCAATTTGTTGGTCCTATGTCGAAGTAATTTTCCATTAGGAAGAGATCTAGACCTAAAGCAAGCCAATTGGTAGACTTAGTCAAAAGTTAAGAGCCAAAAACCACGACGACTTTGAAAGTGACAAGTTTTTTGGTCGAATAAATTGCTCAAATTTTGTGTACCTCCTGTAACTCTATTTTTGCGTATTTTTGGACGACTTGTTAAACCTAAATCGAACTATTTTTTCACAAGAAAGAGAACTAGATGGAAAACAAGCTGATTGGTCGACTGGTTTATAAGTTATAAGTCAAAAAACACGACGACGTTGAAAATGACGAATTTTTTAGTCAATCAAATTTCTCAAATTTTGTGTACCTAGTGTTACTCTATTCTTCCGTATTTTTGGACGACTTGTTGGTCCTATGTCGAAGTATTTTTCAACTTGTTGGTCCTATGTCGAAGTATTTTTCCATAAGGAAGAGGTCTAAACCTAAATCAAGCCAATTGGTAGACTGGTTCAAATGTTATGAGCCAAAATCCACAACGACTGTGGAAATAACGAGTTTTTTAGTCGAAAAAATTGCTCAAATTTTGTGTACCTCTTCTAACTTTATCCTTGCGTATAGTCGGACTACTGAAAGCTTTCCCTTTTCGTTCCTGGGTACCTCACACGTCCCCACCACAAAAATCCCCACTCTTACGAGTGACCGACGCACGCACTATTTGGATAAATACGCGACAAGAAAATAGTCCCGAACAGACTTCTAGTCAAAGAAAAGAGGGGGGACGAGACAGAAAGCCCTATGACTTACGGTTTTAATTCTAAAAAAATGGAAGAACGTTTTATTCATGATTTTTTGAAATTAAATGTTTTATAATTTAACAGGTATTCCGAAATCAGGAACACTTTTTTTTTTTTTAATTATCCTTTGTAATTAACGAAAGAATGTTCTATAGTATATAATAATTATTGTGCAAAAAAAATGTAAAAAACTTTGCAAGTTAATTATCATTGCAAAGAGTAAGCAAAGCAATAAAACTTGGAAAAACGGAATACCGTTTATATTTTTTTATATTGCAAAGAATAAGGGAAAAAATTAAATTTGGAAAAACGGGCTTTCAGGTTTTTAAAAAAATTTAAGTCAAAACGGAACACCGTTTTTAATTGTAATTTGTATCAAAGAATAAACAAAGAAATTAAACTTGAAAAAACGGGCTTCCAGTTTTCTAAAAAAATGTACGTAAAAACGGAACACCGTTTTTAATTCTGATGCAAAAAATAAGCGAAGAAATTAAACTTCAAAAAACGGAACACCGTTTTTATATGGGGTTATTTGAAAGAAGAAAAAAAATTAAATTCGGAAAAACGGAACACCGTTTTTTTTTGTGATGCTTCTTGCAAGGAATAAATAAATTAAACTATAAAAAACGGAACACCGTTTTTATTTGTGTTTATTGCAAAAAATAAGAAGGAAATTAAACTCGGAAAAACGGGCTTCCAGTTTTCTAAAAAAATGTAAGTAAAAACGGAACACCGTTTTTAATTCTGATGCAAAGAATAAGCGAAGAAATTAAACTTCAAAAAACGGAACACCGTTTTTATTTGTGTTTATTGCAAAAAATAAGAAGGAAATTAAACTCGGAAAAACGGGCTTCCAGTTTTCTAAAAAAATGTAAGTAAAAACGGAACACCGTTTTTAATTCTGATGCAAAGAATAAGCGAAGAAATTAAACTTTGAAAAACGGTACACCGTTTTTATTAGTCATTAGTATTGCCGATTAAGCAATCACACTAACTTAGCAAAACGGCCTCCCGGTTGTTCACAAAAAAATTTACAAGGAAAATTTTTATTTTTGTGTAAAAATGCTTGTAGTACTAAAATAAAAAATATTTATATAAAAATAAAAAAGTTTTTCTATTCATTTGATGCTTTGTTACCCATTCTTCGCTGACCTAGACAATAACCCGATCGTCGATTGTTTTTAAATGGCCGACCGTTTAACAACAATTTTGCGACGCTAACGATTATTTTGACTTTTATCGTTGAAAATAATAGTTCTATCTTGTGCCGTATATAAATAATTTTGATTAATATTATTCTCTTGAATAATCTTAATCAAACCAATTATCTTCATTTTGGCCGTATTCCAAAATTTACGTTTAATTTGGTGATATTGTTAACTACTGATTTTCTTTTTCTATGTGATTTGTTTTTTGGATATTGGATATTATTGAGGTAAGTTAATTTTTTATAACTCATTGTATATGCATAATATACATATATATATTTTATTTTATTTTTTAGATCTGGGCTAGTATCGTTTCAAATAAATTCAATATCTAAGATTGGACAAATAATCATCGTCCACACTAATTCTTTTTTTCATATTTACTGCGTAATTTTTTTAGTTTTTTTTTTCAGGTTTTCACGGATCCAGTCATGGGTAAACGGAAGAAGCCAGGATTATTCCCAAATCAGCCTAAGAAACTAAAACCTTGGAGTGCGGAAACGAAAAATAAAACTGGAAGAAGCTTCAATTCTCAGATGCAGGGAGCTATTTATTCGCTGTACAAATTTATGAAAGCAGAACCAGACAATAAGGGTCCAATAATTCCTCTCAGTCAAGTCAGGTAAATAAATTATTGTAATTTTTTATGTTCACAAGTTCCGAGTAATAATAAATACTAGTAGTAATAATAATAATAATCCCGTTTTGCTAAAATTAAAAAAAACGGGAGTCCGTTTTTCCAAATTTAATTTTTTTGCTTATTATTTGCAATAATATAAAAATTTTTGTTTCAAATTCATAACAATTTATTCCTTCTAGAAATCGAGTAGCTAGAGCTTTAGAGATTTCAACCAGGTCTGTAACAAAGTATGTCAACATTGGACGCTCTGGTGCAGACTTTGACACTCCTGGGAAAAAACGACCTAGGAAAAAAGTCAAACGAGATGTTGATGAATCCATCAAAAACGACATTCGTAATACTATTTACGAACTTTGCAAGCAACGTATGTTTTTTTTTTAATTTGATACTTACAAATATTCTTACGAGTTGTAAGCTGAAAAAAGTTCTTTGTTACTTGTTTTTAGAGTAAAAGTTATTGATGCAGCTTGGTAGTTATCATTAATTTTATCTGCTGTTATTATAGCAGACCGAAGAATGATTTATTGAAATTTTAGAAGTTTCACTAAGTGATGAAGAATGGTTAATTAACTTTGTAGTTGCGTATCAAAAAATTCGATGGATATTTTTTTTTTTTTCATGTTCTCTCTAGGTAAAAGTTGGACATATTCTAGTTGCGCGTTCTCTTTTATTAAAGAAAGATGTGATTAACAATTACGTCAAAGTATGTTCGTCTTTTTGATAAATGAACGAGTTAGATTATATTATAATTTGTAATCAATAGTTGAGAATAAATTTTAGCAAATAAAAAATTACATGAGTAACTACTTCTAAATTTGAATGTCAAACTTATATAATTTAAGAAATTATAATTATTTATGTTTATAACTTTATACTCAGTTTCGTAATTTTTTTATTTCAAAAAGATTGACATAAATAATTTGATAAATACTTTTCTGTATAATATTACTGCAAATTGGAAATATCAGATAAAAGTAATTGAAAAAAATATCGATTATTTGATACATGTATGTTGAAATTGAATGGAATGGTTGTCTTACATAGCTGTATGTTAATTTAAAAGAAATTTCCAAAGAAATTAAGCGTGGATGTAATATTGGGTTATTGATATAAACTAATTACTGTGACTTAAAACTATTTTCTGAGTGAACAAGTACAGCAAGGATTATAATTTTTCACAAATACTTCTAAATACCTCGCATTATTTTCACATCAAATCTTTATTACAGCATGAGTTACAAATTTTTTTATACATTTGTTACGTTGGGTCAGCCAAATGAATTGACTATTTTTTTTTTCTTTACATAGTAAAAAATTTTTCGTCATTGTGTAAAGTGTAAAAGTTTTTTGTGTAGAATATTATACTCTAGGGTGTAGAATCTTACATTTTTATGTGTTGATTTAGCACACTAGAATGTAGAATTAACATTAGTTTGTGTAAAAACAATCAGTAAAACAAATATTTATGTTAAATTTGACGAAAATTTTTTTACTGTATAAAAATATACTAAAAAAGTTATTCAGTATAATGATAAATGATTATTGAAAATATTTGAACTCTTACTATTACTTTTAAAAGGTTTATCATCGTAAATTTAAATTTTTGGAACAAACAAATTTTCTTTCTAAAATCATCTAGCGGAAAAACTTAAGCAGCATACATTTTTTAAGGAAGATGTATGATCCACAATCAGGTTCAAAATTATTGTCAGACCAGCAGTGAATATTTAAAAAAACTTTTCAAGCAACAACCCAGCAATGTATAATGTATATAAGGGTGGGTCAAAAAAATCTATTATTTTTTTTTTAACTTCTCACATTGAAAAGTTGGTTTTCAGGCACCTCTAAGAAATGCTCACCAACTTTGAGCTCTTAATATTAATAGGAAGCTTATCCTCATCTCAGTTTTACATTTTTTGTTAGTCTCTTATAAAAAAGATCATATCTCACTATTGATCAATTTTTTCATCTAATTTTTATACATATTTTTGTAGGAAATTGAATGATCTACAAAAAAGAACTGATATGTGTAAGTCCTTACATTAACCATTTCAAAGATATCCGAGATCAAAGTTCAAAAAATTTATCAAAAAAAAATTTTTTTTTTTAATTTCCTACCACATTAAATTTCTTAAACTTTGATCTCGGATATCACTTAAATGGTTAATGTAATCACTTACACATATCAGATCTTTTTTGTAGATCATTCAATTTCCTACAAAAATATGTATAAAAATTAGATGAAAAAATTGATCAATAGTGAGATATGATCTTTTTTATAAGAGACTAACAAAAAATGTAAAACTGAGATGAGGATAAGCTTCCTATTAATATTAAGAGCTCAAAGTTGGTGAGCATTTCTTAGAGGTGCCTGAAAACCAACTTTTCAATGTGAGAAGTTAAAAAAAAAAAAACCCTCCCCCACCAGATCGTACAGGAAAAACTTCAGGCCCAAAAATTTACCGAGGGATCCCCTTCACAGGGGGAGACCCCTCACGGCGGGGAGCGGAAAAGGTCTGGCGCCAGTGGCCGCGGAGTGGGGGTTTGTTGTGTCTCGCGGAGACTGTCCCTTACTACTGAGAGATCTTTTGAATAATAAAATTAAGGGCTCGAACGAATCGAATTAGTCAGACCAATTAGTCAATATATTTTTTACATTTTTTTAGCATCAGCACATTGTTTCGTTATTTATCACCAAACTTTGTTGCACTGATGTAAAATGTATTTCAAAATAAAAACTAATAGGTCTAATTATTTTGATTCGTAAAAAAATTTTTAAATATAGACCTTGATAGTTCACTTATAATTGATATTTTATCTAAAAATGTGGTTGTCATGGTTTTAATTTAACTGTTGTATTTCCCATCAATAATTTTAATGTATTTTACATTATTTTTAATTTCTAATTTTCATTTTCTTTGTTTATGTTAATAGGTCGCTCTGTGACTGTTGCATTGCTTTTGGTAGAATTGAGGTGCATATGATTTTATTAATTTCTTTGTTTAGGATATTGATATGGTGTATAAGTAATTGTGTAGTCTAACTGTTGGCTTTGTTCAAATTTATTAAGTTCTTAGCTGGACTGAGCTTACATAAGTATATCTTGTATTGTTCTTTATTAATATTCTTTAGAGAGAATATAGGATAGAAGTACCGTGTGTGGCCACTGTACCGTTTATGGTCATTTATTGTTCAAATAAACTATAGAAATGAATTTATATTAATAAACCATTACAAACTCAATTTGTTTTAATATAAATTTTGTAAAACTCAACAAAAATATGGTTATAATATTATAATTTCTTATAAATTAATTCAAATGTTAATTGGCCAAAAACGGTGCTAAGGTGGCCAAAAACGGTACTTCTACCCTACTTTTAGTTTTCGGTATAAGATCTGCCAAAAGCTTAGTAAACTTAAACTAGCCTGTTACAGAGAATTCATTAATGATAACACTTTATACAATATAAAGTCTATAGACTTAATTGTATGATGAAGGCTGTATATCTATCTCCTTCAGTTTCTAAATATGCTTTTACAGAGACCGCAACATTTCTTTTAATGGACAGAGAGAAACGCTTCGCAGAGTTTTACACGATATTGGCTTTACCTACAAACGTCGTAATGGCATTTATTACCTTATCGAAAGGCCGGATATTGTAAGGAAACGTCAGCGTTTTATGGAAAAATATATTGATGCTGTACGACAGGGCTACTACCCTGTTTTTGAAGATGAAACCTGGATTTATAAAAAGGGATCTAGTAAAACTCGAGAATGGCAAAACAATGATAGCCGAAGCTGCTCTGTGAAATCAAACGATACCGGTGGGCGGTACATTTGCAATGCAGGTGGAAAAAATGGATACATCCCGAATGCTTCGTTGATTCTTTCAACAACAAAGAAACCAACAAGCTTCGATGATTATCATGGTGACATGGACAGCAAAATGTTCCATAAGTGGATGGTTGAAAAACTCCTTCCAAATTTGCCACCAAAATCCATGATAGTCATGGACAATGCTCCATACCACTCTGTGCAAGTAAGTAATTATATCTTTTCGTTAAGAAGGGTACTTTCTATTTTCAACGACATATTACTTCGACATTAGCCTAATGAAATAAATGTTTCTTCCAGCTTGAAAAACAACCTACGGCAAAGTGGAGGAGAGATGAGATACAAGTGTGGCTTGAAAAAAATAACGTCGACTTCAAGCGTGACTCATTTAAAGCCGTACTATTGGAACTCTGTAGAGCAAACAAGAAGCCAATCAAATATGTCATCGATGAGCTTCTGGCTAAAAACACTGACCACATAATCAATCGTCTACCAGCATACCATTGCTTTTACAACCCGATTGAACTGGTTCAAGGACTCGTGAAACGCTACTTTGATAAACACGTAGGTCTTGGTCATGACTACTCCGAGGACAGTATGCTGATGCATTGGGAAAATGCTTTGGATTCAGTGACACCAGAAGTATGGAAAAATTGTGTTGAAAAAGTCGAAAAAAGAATTTTTGAAGATTATGAACGCGAATTCGGCAACAAGCAAAAACTTCCGAACTTTGACGAAGTACCTGATGATGAAGACACAGAATCCGAAGACGATGATGATCCAGATGACTTGAAGCTGCCTATTGATGCTGACTCTGTAAAAAGAGCATTGTTTGCAAATGGCAACACAGACAGTAATGCAGAACCATCAGTAAACAATGACTCAGTTACTGAGGAAAAAAAAACAGAAGATCCCGTAGCATCAACTATGACTTCAGATGAAAATCAATTACCAGCTTCCGTTTCGGTATGAATCCATTAATAATTTTAATTATCGAAAGAATTAATTTTATAGAACACTTCGTAACAATTTAACTTCATTCAATGATTGTCTTTCAGAATTGGTTAAAAGAACCAGAAGAAACAGTGATCTCTAATAAAACTGGGATTGCACTCCGAGTCTTTGATTTGAAAACATTATTGTCATCTCACTTACTCAATGATCAGGTACTTTGAGAACTGAAGTATTGTTGAATATACTAGTGTCATTGTTAATCTTTAACTCTTACTTTTACAGATTATTAATTTGTATCTGCGATTAGTTGTCCAAAGTGAAGGATCACACTTTTATGCGTTTGATACGCACTTCTACCCGCAGCTGTTAAAATCGTATGACAGCGTAAAGAACTACACAAAAAATGTAGATATATTTTCCAAAAAAACCGTGCTTATTCCTGTTCATTCAGCAGAATTAAGACATTGGTCATTATGTGTTATACATTTTGATCAAAAGAAAATATCTTATTACGACAGTCTGAATTATGTCAATAAATCATGTATCACGGTAAGAGTACAGAGATTTATAAAATAAACCAATGTAATCTTAAAATTAAATTATTTTGGGTTTTAGACAGTTTTCCAGTATCTTCACCAAGAACATTCAATCAAAAAATCACGTCATTGGAACGATTCAAATTGGAAAGACATTCAGGAAACGGTATGTTTTAAATTTTCGATATCATTAGTGTGAAAATATTGTTCAAATTTAACTGGGTTACTTTTGTATTCAGAACTTGCCTCAACAAAACAACTTAACGGATTGTGGTGTTTTTGTGTGTAAATTTGCTCATTATATATGTAAAAACGCACCGTTTACATTTACTGCTGCTGACATGCCAAAAATTCGAAGAACAATGATGGAGGAAATTGTTTTATTAAAGTTGCAACCAATAACACCTCAAGAACCCCAGACTTCCGCAATCAGTCGATCAATATCGGCATTTGCGAGAGATCTTAAGCAAGCACGTGTCCCAACAAAGACGTGTTCCAAAAAGAAGGAGCCACCAAGGAAATCTTCGACTTCTGTAAGTAATATTAATTATATAACTTTGTACAGTAATTTGAAAATGAATTTAAAATGTTTACTACTTATTCTCAGAAGGAGCTTTCTTCAACCGTGAAACCGCTTTGTGAGATACGGACTAGCTTAGAAGGGGTCTATTTGCACCAATCGGCAAATTTGCATCAAGGTGATTCACGATTTCCTGAAGATCGCCGAAATGCTCAATGTACGGCCATTGTGGCGTACAGTATAGCTGCATTGATCTTAAATAACGGAGAAATTTCAAGGACATTCTTAGACAATATTGTGAGAGATGGAGATCAATATTATGTAGACAGCAAAAAAGAGAATCAAGTGAAGGAGGCATTTCTACAACCGGAAGAGCTGCTGAAGATATTCCATGTAAATCATCAAGAAGTGACAATTGATATCGATCATTGTGGTGAAGGACACTTTTTTTCATCGGGTCTTATTACTTCTCTGACTGCTGCTATTGATTATTGTGTAGAGATTTGTAAAGAACAACTTGACCAATATGGGTTCTTATTTATTGGTCACGGAAAAACTGTCTCATTCAAAATATCCTCTAAAAATCACAAACATTTCTTTATGTTCAACTCTCACAGTGTTGATAATAACAACTGTTATCCCAAGAATGGTCCTAAGAAAGGAGTAGCCCGATTATTTCGATGTCTTTCATCGAGATGTCTCGCCAGCCTACTGATTCAGAATCACCCTCGTGATGAGAGATATTGGCAGATTTATCGCATCAAAGTATCATCGACTTAATCGAAGTAAGTTATATAATATATATAATATAGTTATAATATATAATATATAATATATAATATATAATATAGTTATAATATATATAATCTTTAAAAATAAATCATATTATGACTAATCTCTTTTGACTAATCAATAATGGTTATCGTTATAGATGATGCCCAATTTTGAAATTATTTCACAAGATATGTTTATAAATATTTGAATAAAGTAGAAAAATCAAACGGGTAAGGCATTAAATCAAAACGTAGTATAATAAAAAGTAATTTTCATAGAATTTTTCAATATTAATAATGTTAATTATTTATAGCCTTTGATTTTGCTACAAACTACAATGGAGAAACTCTAATCAAACGGAAAGCCGCATTTAACACGTTTAAAGGGTATGTTATTATAATATGATTCTTATAAAAAACATATTGTTCCATCATTAGTTTGTCCGTTAAGAAATGTTGTAATTTACAGGTGAAGCGGCGAGGGACACTTTCAGTAATGAATTGATTATTTTTATAAAAAACAGTTCATCACTGATAATGACAGTAGCCTCCACGTGGCGTGTCCTGGGCAACGGTACTTTAGGTACTGGCAAATACTGTCTGAGATTCTTTTAACTGTAGGAAATTTTCAGAAGCCTTCAGCTGTACAAGATCATTAAATAAAGATATTAATGGATAAATTGCATTATAAGAGCTGCAAAGATGCGTGAGCGCAGTACAAAATTCAAGACAGTAAAAATTATAGTTATAAAAATGACTAGCTGAGCGCTTTCTAGAAATGCATTTTTAGATTTAGACTTGAAATTTAATTAGAATATTGTTTTGAGTTGCACAGATGTGATTATTGTAGTTGATATTCTCTGTAATTTTTTATGTACAATCATGATAATATTCCCGTGGCTTCCTTATGAAAATGAATTATATTTTATATTAGAAAAAAATTTGGCAAACGGTTGACCCTGATGACCATTCCTGCAACTTCCCGCTAATTCTATAAATAATATTATAATTATATAAGCTCTTAAGATTGCACTTATGACGTTTTTATGCTTTTCGAGCTCAAAAATATAATTTATGTTATTTCGAGCTTTCCGAGTTTATAGAGTTAGCTGTGTTCTAAGCTTTTGAGTGCTTTGAGCTAAAAAGTCTTATAGAAGTTTAATAAAACAGTATTTTTTTTTTAATTTTCAAACTGCTATAAGTTCAGAATGAATGAATCGGAGTCACAGCTTCCTGTGACTTTAAAACGTCGAGATCTGATGAAAACTCGGTTTTCGCAAAATGGGGTCGAACCAATAACTTCCCGATTTTTGAAAATTTTCAATTTTCTTAGCGGGAAGTTAAAAAAAAAGAAATTTTGGGGTTAAAATTTGATAAAATCAGCTGAACTTGGCATAAGGTAAAGTACCCAGTAGTTGAACAGATTTCAAAGTAAAACTTATTTGACCCTACTTTTAATATATACAGATGTAATTATTAGTTCAAATTAGTGATTTTCATGAAAATATAAACAATTTTGATTTGATTGAAGCGCAAAATAACAAAGATAATTAATTATTTATATTTTGACGTTTTTAAAAAAGACTATGAAAGGAGTAGTAGTTGAACAATCAATTCTGACGAGCCGCAGTAGTTGAACTAATAAAATATATGGCAATAGGCACGCCAAAAGTTTTCAACGTTTTTTAATTTTAAAACTTATTTAAATTGCAGTAATTAATACAAATCACAATGCTGATCACTAGTCTATAAACCTATCAGAGGTTATAATGCTGTTAAAATTATACGGCCTCAGCCTGTTCAAGTTCTGGGTACCGCTTTGAAAATTTGGAGGTATAGTTGAACGCTAAAATTTAATATAAATATTATAGTTTATAATATACTATATATATATACTATATATATATTGTATAAACTATTTCATTAGATGATACAATTTTTTTTACTTAAAATGATGATATACGGTTTTTTTTACTGATTGTTCGGTTTACAATTTAGTACCTTTTTCATGAAAAAAATAGCATCTATCGGTTATTCTCGACATGTTAACTTTAAAGTTAACAAAAATGTAATTGTTTTGATTTATAATTGAAAAAACTTACAGAAATCAATTACTGTATCATTTAATGATTATTATATGCGCAAATTACTCATAATAAATTTACGGATTTTGTATTATAACAATATAAAAAGTCTGTTCAAGTACTTGTCCCATTTTTGTAAGTGTTCAAGTACTGGGTACTTTACCTTAAATAATAAGTAATGATTAACTGGAAAAAATTACCGTTTTAAACAGTAAAATCGTGATTTTAACAATCACTTTATAATATTTATCATTTAAATGCTACAATTTATTATTTATATGGAAGAAAATTCTATTTCAAACAGTAATACTCGCTATATGAATGTCGAAAATGTTAAAGTATAATAATTAAGAATTTTGACTTTGATATTTATCATTTATTGAAGATGCCACGGTAACCAACACTCGCAGCAATTAACTCCGTTGAATGAAGTAAGAACGGATTTTTTACAATGCGCACATAGATGCTTACATCCGGAATTCTCTTTTTTTTTATCATTTCTGACAGTTCCTTAAAAATAATTGGGTCAAAAAAACTTTTTAATTCCTCTCTGTCAACCTTTTGAAAGCCGTAAATAACGACATCTGAAAATTTTTTTTTCAATTGGTCTTTTGATAAAATTTTCTTATTACCGGCCTTTATCTCATTTAATTGATTCTTGTTTAAAATCAGAGACAAGAAAGTTATTACTTTACTCTGCTTAGCAGAATCAGATGCTACATCAGAATCTGTCGAAAACTTTAGCGCTCCAGTCTGTCGACCATCTTCAATATTCTTGTCGTTCAAATCAGTATCAGAAGACTTGGTTTCGATTTGAAGAGGAATCGAATCAGAATTAATCGAAGGCTCTAAGGCTTTATTATTTTCTTCATCATTTTGATGATTGTCGTTTTGAGTATCATCATCAGTCAATTTAGTGTCAGACTGATTAGGAGATGAATTAGTATTTTTTAAAACCTTTAAGCTTGATGTTTCTTCTTGACGATTCTCCGCGGCACCATAAATATTGGTCAACTTTTTAGATAGAACAGTAGATGAATCGGAACCTTTCTTAAGCTTTTTATTTTCAGTCTGATTATCTTTCTCATCATAAGTAATACCATCCGATTGTTGGCATGTAGGGGAAACAGGAGATAAATCTTTTGTGTTATTCTCCAGGATTTCTTTTTGAACCGCATCTTCGTGACTTTCGTCACTTGACATTTCTATCATGTCCCATTCTTTAAATTGTACTAACAACTCGTTCAATAAAGTTATTTTAACCTTTTGGTTAATAATTGATGACTTCATAATGTTTCTTTTAATTTTCTTTTGACATTTTTTAAAGATATGTCCATTGAATGCTACTTCAATCTGATGTAATCTTCCATTTTCATCCTTCTCATATTTTTCCTTTAAGGCTGTCATTCTATCAGCCCAAGTTTGCAACTTTATCTTTTTGCGTTGTCTTCCGCTGCTTTCAGACTATAAATAAAGCAAAAATAGTTCAATAACTTAAAAATAAGTTATTACTGATAAAAATATATATAAATACAATAATACGTACACTTGGATCATGATTATGATTTGGCTGCCAATTTTTGATGATATATTTTCGGTCATTAATACTCAATTGAATTTTTATCTTCATAGAACAATGTGAACTGTAATATACAAAATTAAGTATCAATCAAATTAAATATTATTAAAATTTAAAATTAATTTATAACTATAACTTATTAAAATATTACTTACGGAAGTCGATCCTTATTGTGTTGCGGACCACAAACACAATCAATATAAATTTCATAGTAATAAAAATCTCCTCCAAAATTATTTATTATGCTGTGGGCGTTGCAATATTGTTTAATAGTTCTTGACGCCCAGATTCTTAATTTGTAGTTTGTAGCTGACTCGTAATCATCTAAGAGTTTGAAAAAATCTTGTATATCCACAAACTCCTGGTCACACTTAAATAGCTCAGCCATGACGAAACCTAATACGAAACAAATTATTGATAGACGAACATTTTATGTGTATTTTAAAAAACAACGTTAAATAAAAGTAAATATTGAAAAGCAATAACGTCTTTGCCAAAGTAATCTTCAATTTGTTTACATATTATGGTCAAAGTATTATCTGATATTTCATGTTGAATTCTCTTTAAAAAAATTTATAATTACAATGAAAAATACTATATTTCAAAAAACTTACTTACGGTTAATTTTGCCTAATGTTGTTAATCAATAAACAATAGATTACATTAATATTTAGCTTACCTGGAACTTCACCTGATTTGAATCTTTTTCAGCAATGGACTAAGGTTGGAATAAATAGTACGCAGAAAGAATGGTAAAGAAAAATCGAGAAAGTATAGATTATCAAATGTATAATTTCTGCTAGAATAGAAAACTACGAAGCTTCTGTTAGTGACCGCATGGGACCCTTTTTATCTACCAATTATTAAGTTAGGATTAAAAACGCAATTTGAATAACCTAAATTGATTAATTTTCTTAAAATTTTTAGTTGAATGTCAACAATCCAAAAAAAGTTTCACTTGCATCGTGGTTTCATAAAACCACACAATAATTTTTAAATTTCCTACCACATTGGAAAATAATAGTTGTCAAATGAATATGCTATATCTTTGTAGAAAATTTAATGCTCTACAAAAAAGGTCATATATGTTGAATTGATTGTTAGAACCGTTTAAAAAATATTCGTAACCGAAACACCCTAATGCTTTCTGATTTCAATAATTCTTTAATAACTTTTTTAAATTTATCCATTAAATTGCAAACAACCCACTTGATTGTTTGCAAAAAAATTAGCTGCCAGTATATGAAACCTGTAATTGAGCCTTTAAGGGGGTCATCTTAAGGGGTTGGTTTTTTCCCCTAAAAATTTTTTCGCTGATAAAAAAAAATACGTGTAGCTTAGAATCGACGGAGAATAATATATTTCAGTAGCATGAAAATCGGAGTTGGACACCTGGGAACCTTTCCTTGTAAGTAATAAAAACGGACATATCATTCTCTTTTTCCAAAAGTAAAGCTTTCTCGCATTTATGAATAGGGTAAAAAATTGTCAAAAGCTTCCATTCTATCATAGCATTAGGGTTTGGTTACGAATATCTTTTAATTACAGTTGCAGTCATCTTTTCTGATCTACGATTGCAATAAGTAACAATCTTTTATTGCAAAATCATTTAATACTGCTTAGTTGCAGTAATAAATAAATATTTTTAATTACTTGTAAAAAAAATTTCAAAAGTTTTATAACCCCATGTGCAATCGTTAGTATTATTCTGATTTATTGAACAAATAAAAAATATATATTCTATTTACATTTTTTCAGATTTAAATTTCACATGAAATAGCTTAAGCTGATACATAACTGACCTCTGACGGGCTGTACCATACAACTCTGTAACGGCGAATGCTTCAGACAAAAAATTTATTTCTTTGTATAACCTCGCCTACATCTGATCTTTCTTCATTGAATCTTTTTAACCTGTATTTCTATGTTTTTATAATTAAATTCATTACAATGCATCAAAAATTTAATAACCTGATTAAATTTAGATTATTTGATAATTTCGAACGAAGGTTCAAAGCTTATCAATACACTAGTGGATATACGTTTTCAAGAACATCGACGCTGTTGAAAAAATGCCATGTTCCTTCATTAGAAACTAATGAGTAAGACCAGGGACTTCGTATGGAAGGGGTAAAACAATTGATGCTCGTGCGTTACCCCTTCCATACGAAATCCCTGGCCATACTAATGAGGAACTTAAAAAAAAGTTTAAAATTTATTTTGCGAAATTTACGTGTAATACAACATTGCCAAATGATTCAAAGTAAGTAAATTATAACTTCAATAATAATAATAATAATAATAATCATAATAATTTGTTTATTGACCTCCCCTGAATAGAAAAAAGTATTGAGACAAAAAATAAAGTGTTGAAAAGTATTGGATTGACTAGAAGACCAATACTTTTCAATATTTTTTTCTTTGTCTCAATACTTTTTTTTATCAGGGTCGCGTGTGTAATTTTAAATGAATATTTCTAAGTCTTGATCGGTCGTTTAGTGTGTTATTCATCTGTAGGAATTTATATATTCACTTAATATCTAGGCGATTTTTGTCAATTCAAGTTAGATTTATGTGTACCATCTTTCTTATTGAAAACTAGTAGTTGATAGTTTGGTCTATATCTGTTCTGATGTTAATGTTAGTTAAAATCTTTTTAAAATCTATTTTAAAATCAAGAGTAACTCTACTCGACCATTCAAGGCATAGAAATATTAATTTAACCATAAAAATAAAAATATTATTAACAGTAAAAATAATAATAATAATAATATTTGTTGTTGTTGCAGTTGGATTTTTTTATGCTCTGGTTTAGATTTCTCGTTAATTTTCCATTTCCTATCACATACAAATGATTATCAGTAATATTAATTTCTTTTTTTTCAGAAAGAAAAAACCGTGTCGTGCATCGTTCAAGGTTCGGTTAAACTATTTTGATGAAAAGGACATATACCTTGAAATTTATGATGTTGTAAAAAAACATAGCCACAAAAGCTGTCCGGTAAGTTTAATATTGACCTCCTATAAACACATAAAATATATAATTAAATAAGTTATGAATAATTATATTTGTGTTAATTACATGTAACTTTATATCTATTAATATTTTTAGGATCATTTTTTGGATTCGTTCCTTGAAATTGATGACATTATTGTACAAGAGAATGACAATTCACAGTCAGCTTTAAAAAAATAAAGAAAGTTAAAAATTGTACGGTGACATCTGGGTCGTTAACTAATCAAGAAGGCGGTGATGTTAATGGATCCCCGACCTTAAAACCAATGCCAATAACAACTGTCTTGCAGTCTCGAGAAAAAACAAAATTGCAGTCGACAGGAGCTCCTTTAGAAACGAAAGCAGCTCCCAATAGATTAAACATCGTCAAACCGTCATTAAGTAAAGCCAATCACGGTCCAAAAATTATACTAAACGAGCCAACTACTTTTGGATCTAAAATTACATTAATAACGAAAAATCCTGTTTCAACTCCTGAGACTATTAGCCAGCAACCACTCTTGACTTCAACTGGACAATCGCTGGATTTGTCCAAACTATCCAGCAGATCCACTGAAGCCTTGGAAGGAGTGGCTATGCAGTCAACAGCACAGGACGGAAAAGATAACAATTTTGAAGCGGTTGCCCATAGTCCTATTGATGAGATAGATGATGTAGGAAAAGCCAAAATTAGCAAAGCAGTTAAGCGGAAAAAAGTTTCTCGACTTACAATTAAGAAAAAGCACAAATTCAAAATTGAGGATTGGTACTGTAATACGTGTAAAAAGAATGAGCGCATCGACTCGGTACGGTGTTCAAAATGTACTCTATATTTCCATGTCCAGTGCTATACAAAAGATTCTCCCGGAGTATTCACATGTAACGGTTGTCGTAATCAAGAGTGATTATTTTTTCTCCTGATTAAACTTCATTTTTTAGTTAATAAAATAAATATCTTTTTATAATATTTTGTGTGTTTCAAATAAACTATTATGTAGGAAATTGCATGTATACTATTATTCATTCATACCTCAGGTCTTTTCCCAGCTACAGGAAAGAAGATGATGACATTCATGCTACAAGAAATTACAATAGTTTTTGATAATTATCACGGTACGTACTATGTTTTTTAGTGAATACTAATGGAGAAATTAATTACGTGTTTAAATACTTAAAAATTTTCATTGATCAATCAGATTCAATTTTAGTATGTTGTGCAAATTCTATTTTTTGTGTAATAAAATAAGTCATTTTAGATTTTATAGTTTTTGTTACATATATATTAAACCTTCAGTTATTCATTTATCCTCTCAATTACCTCTCTTTCTCTTAGCCGTACGCATGGCTTATTATTAATATGAAAACTCACTAATAGATTCTTGCAAATAAATATAAAAGAGTATTTAAAGCTAAAATACCTATATAACAATTGATTCATGTTTTACTTAGCTAAAATTATGGTTTTTATCATTTGGAAATCAGTAAGTTGGGCAAAAAAAATAGTTTTTCAAATAATTACACTAGGCCCTTAATTTTCAAAAATTTTTCCTTCAATAATTAAAAATAATAAACTATATCAGTTAAGGTTCATCGTAAAAAAACAGTGCTTTTAAATTAACAAGTTAGTGTTTTGAAAAAAATATTATCTAATAGTGTGTAAGTATCCACTGTTATATTGAGAATATTATGTTGGTTAATGAACATAATTTACGATTGTTATTTTAACATCAAAGATTTGTTTTTAATAAGATGCTGCCTTTTTTCCCCCTAATTTAAAGATAAGTATTTTTTTCACCGATGGCGTTGGTGTCATTAAAACAATTGACAGTCTAATCATACTGACGGTTATAATACATTTAACCCCTTCTTATACGCAAGTTATTATTAAATTGGGTTTTCTTTTGTAATTTTTATTAATAATGGAAGACAATGAGAAAAAAAAAAGAATTCGTGACGGTGAAGCGTATGATCTTGGACTACAAGAATTTTTCAAGTCTCCGGAGCGTATTATTAATTTAGATGAACTTGGTATGTCTTTGTGTCCAAAGACTGGGAAAGTTTTAGGTCCAAAAGGAGAAAAAAATTTGTACAGAATCGCTACAGGAATGGAAAATCAGTCTATCAGCGTCCTTTGCTCTTTTTCTGCAGATGGAAACTCTTTTGATCCGATGATAATTTATGCTTATAAAAAAATGCCTCGGGATATTGCTAACTCCCTTCCTAAGGGATTTGCAATAGGACGAAGTGATACTGGTTGGATTAACAGTGCTAATTTTTATGAGTACATTGCTAATGTATTATACCCTCGCCTTATTGAAAGAGGAACTAAGTTTCCAGTTTTGATATTATGCGATGGGCATAAATCACACATTAACATGGATCTTCATCGTTTCTGCGTAGATAAACAAATTATTCTATATTGTCTCGTACCAAATTCAACGCATATTTTACAGCCATGTGATGTTGGTATATTTTATCCGCTTAAGGTTGAGTGGAAAAAAGTGGTAGCAACCTCAATTTTTGTTAGGAATATATTGCTTCAACTAACAATGTCTTTTTTTTGGGTGATTTGTTCCTCTCTTTAGGTTCTTTCGTAGACTTATCGATAAGAAAATGTTATTATTTAACGATATTTTATTTTCGGATGAAGAAATTTTTTTTTCACTCTTTCAGGGAGTACCCCATTTTGCCCGCAAAAAAAAAAAATTTTTTTCGACGGCAACTTGAAATTTGATTATTTTCCTTTAATTACGACTGAAAACGAGAAAAATCAGCGTATTCAAGTCCTTAAAATCATAACGATTGCTTAAGTACCCCATTTTGCCCCCCCCCCTCCCCTAAATAGTTGTACGATCTCTTTAGAATTCATCACCTACTGTTCGGCAACAGTAAAGCCAATTACTATTTAAAAATTTAATAACAGTATAAAATAATTGTTTCCTTTTATCCTACGCGTGTGATTTAGATTTCATACTTGTAAAACTAATTAACGATAAAAATGACCGACAAATTATAAATAGTTATACGATCTCTTTAGAATTTATCACCTACTGTTCGGCAACAGTAGAGTCAGTTACTATTTAAAAATTTAATTACAGTATAAACTATTTGTTTTTTTTTTTTTGTCTTACGAGTGTAATTAAGATGTCATACACGTATTATTAATTAACGATACGTATGACCTAGAAATAATAAATAATTATTCGTTCTCCGTAGAATTAATCACCTACTGTTTGGCAACAGTAAATTCGAAAATTAAAAAAAAATTCAATTAGAGTATAAAATAATTGTTTTCTTTTGTCCTACAAGTGTGATTTGGATTTCATACATGTAAAATTTATTAATGATTAATATGATCAAGAAATAATAAATCGTTATACGATCTCTGTAGAATTCATCACCCACTTTTCGGCAACAGTGAAACCAAAAATATTAAAAAGTAAAATTAGAGTATTTAATCATTTAATTGTTTTGTCTCTTTATAATTTAACCGATAAATAACGTTCCGTATAGAATTTTATTATGGTTAACGAGTATAATGGACATTACATTGACGTAAAATTAATTAACAGTCAATATGACAAAGAAATTATAAATAGTTACAAGCTCCCTGTATAAGTTATCATCTACTGTTCGATAGCAGTAAAATCAAATGTCATTCAAAAATTTTATTAGAGTACAAAGTAAATATATTCTTTTATCTTGTACTATGATTAAAATTTTTCACGCTTTAAAATAATAAATAAAAAAAAACTTATTAACATTATTGATAATTAACGTTTCCTACATCAGTATCTAATGTTCGGCAGCAGTACAATGATAATTTTTTAATAACTTAATTAAAGTATAAAATAATTGTGTCAGGAGAATGATTGAGATTTTATTCTCGTTAAATTAATTAAAAGTAAATATGTCTAAAAAATAATTATTGGTTATGAGCTTTGTTTAGAATCAATTATCTAATGTTCGATGGCAGTAAAAAAGAAATTATTGAATAATTTAATTAGAGTGTAAAATAATTATATTTTTTTGTCTAATTACTGAGATTAAAAAAATTACTGAGATTTATTTTTTGTACGCTTAAAAATAATAAATAAAAAAATTTCCAATTAAATAATTGACAATTAAGGTTCCTTAATGAATTTCATCATTAACTGTTCGGCGGCAGTGAATTGAAAATTAATCAATATTTTGTTTAGAATATAAAATAATTTTTTTTTTCTGTCTAAGAAGTGTTATAAATATTACATTGATTTAAAAATTAATTAACAGTAAATATGACTAGTGGGTCATTCTATGTCAAATCGACCAATAGTTGGAATCGACCCCTTTCGATTTGGACGAATTTTGGTCAGAAGTTTTCTTTTATCATAAAACGAAGTTCTGCCAAAAAAAAAAAAAATAAAAAAATTTTTTTCAAAAGATATGCAAACTCAAAATTTCGCAATTTTTCCAGTTTTTTAATTTTGTTTTTGTAATATCTCGAACGCTAGTAGAGTCATTTGGGGTAAATGTGCGCAGTGGGTAAGAGTGCGCAATCCCATGTATTTGGGACTCAAATGAATGGGTTTGCGCACGCTTATATATATACCCACTGCGCACATTTACCCCAAATGACTCTACTAGCGTTCGAGATATTACAAAAACAAAATTAAAAAACTGGAAAAATCGCCAATTTTGAGTTTGCATATCTTTTGAAAAAAATTTTTTTATTTTTTTTTCTTTGGCAGAACTTCGTTATATGATAAAAGAAAACTTCTGACCAAAATTCGTCCAAATCGAAAGGGGTCGATTCCAACTATTGGTCGATTTGACATAGAATGACCCAGATGCAATGAGCTGTTTATTGCTATTTTATTTTACTATTCTTATTTTGAATTACAGAAAATAGGCGAGGTAATTTTATTAAATGAATACTTTAGTTCTTAAAAATAATTTCATCGATTCATTCACTATTTTCATTTTTATTTTTTTTTTTTTTGTAAAAAATATTAAAAAGATGACACTTGTTTATTCAACAAGTTGACTGGTAAGTTTTTCTGGAAAAACTAGACATAAATTATTATAAGCTCCTTATAGAATTTATTATCTACTGTTTGGCGGCTATAAAATAAAAAATTTAATTTCAGTAAAAGATAATTATATTTTTTTAATCTCATCATTATGATTAACGTTTTCTATGCTTATAAATAATAAATAAAAAAAAAACACAATAACATAATCGATAATTAACGTTCCCTATTGAATTCTTCATCTTCTGTTCGGCAGCAGTAAAACTGAAATTCCTTAAAAATTTAATTTCATTATCAAATACCGTTTTTCACAGTACAGATATGCATAATAAATATTTTTTAAGCCTTATTTTATCTCACTCAAAGTTGTAATTTTAACGAGGAATAATTTTACATTTTTGATATAATTTAATTTTCAGTGTCCATCGGCAGTTAATACAAAATCGTTTAATCATTTAAATTTTCATATTATGTCACCTTGAATAATTCAAAGTTCTATGAATTTCAGAGGCGGAGTCTTAGGCTTCCATTTAGTTTTGTCGACTGTTTCATCTGCTTACCGACAAGCTTTTACACTAATGTCTTTTTAGACCCAACGCATTGCCGGAACTAATCCTTTTAGGGTACCTGAGGTGTTTACGTCCTCCCTGATTATTTATACTAACTACAGGTAGTACCGCAAATTGATAAAAAGAGGCCATTTGGTTCTCGAAATGATAATAGTTTTCTGAAAATTTATTAAATCTTACAAGATTGTTAAAACTAATGAAATAGTAAAGTTCTTTAAAATAGCTGCAGATGTGTCGGTAATTTTCGATCCAGGATTATCAAATTACATGAAAATTAGAGCTTGTTCCATGAACTTTTTGATACAACTTGCGTACATTTGATGAGAGTTAGTCTCTAAAAGTTAATCAGTAAAATACTATTGATAGATGTTTTATAGTTAGTTTCTCAAAATGTTTGAAATTTACTATGAGAAATTAGTAATTATTAATTTTTGAATTAGTAAAAATGGTCACATTTTGAATTAGTAGATTTTATCCTAATTGGAGGGTAAAATTGGTCGAATAAAAAATTTTTAAAAAGTAATTTATCTAAAAGTGTATCCCTTACACTCACAAACCTTTTTGCAAATAATTCGTTTTAAAACTACTCATTTTTATTCAGTTTTCATACTTACTATTAAAATAAGTTCAAATTTAAATCATTTACTTCAAAAGAGTAATAAAATCGATCCTACATTTCAAATCTGGACATATCTTACAAAACGAAACAATAATTGTTTAAAATTGGCTAAGTAGTCTTCAGAGACCTCAGGGTGTGGATAAACACTGTGACAGGGAATTTTTATATAGATAGAAATATATATTAGATATTATAAGCAAACTATATCTAGTATACTTCGTCGTAAAAATATAATGCTTTTAAATTGACAAGTTAGTGCTTTGAGAAAAAATATTATTCAATAGTGTGTATATAAGTATCCACTGTTATATTTTACTTTTTCGGGTGATTTCTATGAAATCATTTTTTTGTAAATGAAGTCTTCTTGCTCTTCTAAGACTTTCTAACAACTTATCGTCGTTTTCGATCGTTATTTTTATTAGCTTTCCCTCTTTGTCAATCTTTTTTTTTATTTCTTTGTTCATAAGTTTTACTTCCGTCACTGCTTTCATTATTTATTTATCCTCCATTTCTCTCAGTATCCTAATGGATGATAATCGATTAATAAATGCAAGTCCGTCGATTTCCTCTTCTCCTACATCAGCAATAGTTTCATCGAGAACATCTCAAAAATCTGCATATTCTTCATTTTTCTCAGCTGTTTCTTTGCTTTTCTGTTTCCTAACAAATTTGTCCATTTGGATGGAGTTCCAAATAACCCTTGTATCCATTGCACATACCTTCATTATTTCTGTAACAAAATGTTTTGAGTATTAACAGGAGATACAAATATCAATTAATCTAGTGAAATGAATTCATTGATTTCTTTCATGTTTATTTAAAGTTAAAAAAAAATTATCTAATTACTGCTGACCTAAAAATTTATTTGGGTTAGGGTTTTTTTGTAGTAATTGGTTCAAAATATGATTGGATGCTTCTTCAAAATTATCTGTTCGATCTTCTCTAATATTATAAACGGAGAATTCCTTCGGCTTGATGGTTTTCAACCAGTAACCGTCAAAGTAAGAAAACAGCTTTTCGAAATAATTTCCAAAGTCACGAGTAACTGTTTCTTGTAATTGTTTGAAGGTCGGTATGATTAAAGAAGGTGGTAAGAGAGCCAAAGCGATGAATTGTTTGATTACTATGTAAACTTCAGGACTTGATGAAGGTATAACCTTGGTTTTATTAATTATACCGTACTCTTTCGACTTCTTTATTATTGCCTAAAACATAAGTCCAAATAAGTTTATAATTAACTATCTATCAGTTATTTAATCAATAACAAGTAATGACAGTATAGTAGCTAAGATAATAAAAGGATATACATCACTATCTGACCTGGACATAATGAAAGTAGCAATGGGTGGGTTTAATGCCAGGGAATGCTGCTTCCACGGCGTTATGCATCCCTATTTCAAAATCAGACATGTACACTGTTGGCTTGAATCTTCTGCAACTTTGTTTCATAAATTCGAAAACTTTCGAATAGCATTCCTCGCCCTTATGGCTCATGATTGCTCTGAAAATCGGTACTGCCTGAAAATAGTAATTGGAGATAGATCGTTAATGATAATTACATAAAAAAGTACACTCACAACAGTAATTTTGAATTAGTACGAATTTTTCAGATTTCACGAGATAATACAGTTTACAAATATTACAAATAATATTGTTTAAGTAACTATCAGATTTTTTAATTATTAAACTTTAATGAAAAAAAATCAACTAAATACTCACGGCGCTTTGACTATGTGTCTTTCCTTCAATTTTTCCCATGATTGTGAGTAACTGAATATTTTCATGTTCGAATTTTGGAACCAACTTAAATTTTATTATGGTTCGTAAAAATCAAAGGCTACCTTCTAAGACATTTATTGTCTCTCTCAATTTTTATTTGACCTATTTTGATATAAGATAACCTTGAAATAATAATGAAAGTAGGTCAAACTGGAGTAAACTTGATTTAGGCCCAAAAAATCAGGTTTTTTCAAGCCCTTAATTCATTTTTTGCTTTTATAAAATTAGAAGTTACGTCCTGAGTTATCCTCCGTCCCTCTCAATATTTACTAAACCTATTTTGACCTTGCACAAACTTCAATTATTAAGAAAAGTATGTCAAACCGAAGGATAATGGATTTAGGCCCAAAAAATCAGGATTCTTGATGCCATAATATTTTTTTATGCCCCTCAAAAATCTCAGGGCACCTCCTGTGTAATCTTCTGACCCTCTCAATATTTATTAAACCTATTTTGACCTTGCATGACCTTTAAATTTCAAGAAAAGTATGTAAACCGAAGGATAATGGGTTTAGGTCCCAAAAATCAGGTTTTTTATGACGTTAAATATTTTTATGGTCTTATAAAATTACAAGGTATCTTTTTAGTCGTTTTCCTTTACTCTTAATTTTTATTGAGCCTATATTCACCTTGTTTGACCTTGAAAATCAATAAAACTAGGTAAATTTCGAGTTAAATTGATTGAGGCCCAACACATCAGGTTTTGTATGCCCTCAAATTTTTTTTTGGTCTAATAAAAATACAAGGTACCTCCTAAGTAATTCTCCGACCCTCAAAATTTTCAATAAACTTATCCTGACCTTGTAAGACCTAGAAAAATCAAAACAAGTAGGTCAACCGCAAGTATTATCGATTAAGGCTCATATAATTGGGTTTCTTTATGCTCTCATATTTTTTTAAGGCCTTAAAAAATTACAGGGTATCTCCTGAGTCATCTTTTCTCCCTAGTCATTTTTATTAAGCCTATTTTTTTGTTTTATGACCTTGAAAAATTAATGAACGTATGAAAAACCCAGAGAAAATTGTCTTAGGCCCAAAAAATTAGGTTTTTTCATGCCCTTAAATTATTTTTTGCTTTTATAAAATTACAAAGTACCTCCTGAGTTATCCTGCTTCCCTCTCAATATTTATTATACCTATTTTGACCTTCCATGACCTTGAAATATTAAGAAAAGTATGTTAATCCAATGGATAATAAATTTAGGCTCAAAAGATCAGGTTTATTTATGCCCTTTAATTTTTTTATTGCCTCATTCAATTACAGGGTAACTCCTGCATCATCTTCTCTCCCTCCTAATTTTCATTAATACAATATTTACCTCGTATGACCTTGAAAACATAATGAATGTCGGTAAAATCCGAAGAAAATTGACTTAAGCCTTAAGAATCAAGTTTTTTCATGCCCTTAAATCATTTTTTTGTTTCATAAAATTACAGGGTACCTCTTGAGTTATCCTGCGTCCCTCTCAATATTGAGTATACCTATTTTCACATTGCATGGCCTTGAAATATTACGAAAAGTATGTCAATCAAATGGATGATGAATTAAGGCTCAAAAAATCAGGTTTATTTATGCCATTAAATTTTTTAAATGGCCCTTTAAAATTACAGGGCACTTTCTTTGTCATCTTTCGCACGTCTCAATATTTAGTTAACCTATTTTCACATTGTATGACCTTGAAAAATATAAAAGGTAGTTCGAACTCAATAAAATTGATTAAGGCCCAAAAAATCAGGTTTTTTATGATTTTCAATATTGTTATTGTCTTAAAAAATTACAGGGTATCTCCTCAGTCGTCTACTTCTCTCTTAATTTTTATTGATACTATATTCACCATGTATGACCTTGAAAAATCAATAAAACTAGGTAAATTGCGAGTAAAATTGATTTAGGCCCAACAAATCAGGTTTTTTATGCACTCAAATTTTTTTTTGGTCTAATAAAAATACAAGGTACGTACTCAGTAATCCTCCGACCCTCTAAATTTCCGATGAACTTATTCTGACCTTGTAGAACCTAGAAAAATTAAAAATAGTAGGTCAAACCCAAATATTATCGATTGAGGCCCTCAAAATCAGGTTTCTTTATGCCCTTAAAATATCTTATTGTCTTTTAAAATTACAGGGTATCTTCTCAGTTATCTTCCGTCCTTCTCATTCTTTATTAAACCTATTTTGACCGTGCATAACCTTTAAATGTCGAGAAAAGTATATCAAACCGAAGGCTAATGGGTTTAGGCCCCTAAAATCAGGTTTTTTATGCCGTTAAATATTTTTATAGTCTTATAAAATTACAGGGTATCTACTAATTCAATTTCCTTTCCTCTTAATTTTTATTGGGCCTATATTCACCTTGTTTGACATTGAAAATCCAATAAAACTACGTAAATTGCGAGTTAAAATGATTTAGGCCCAACACATCAGGTTTTTCATGCCCTCAAATTTTTTTTTGGTCTAATCAAAATACCAGGTACCTCGTAAGTAATTCTCCGACCCTCTAAATTTTCAATGAACTTATCCTGACCTTGTAGGACCTGAAAAAATCAAAACAAGTAGGTCAAACACAAGTATTATCGATTAATGTTCAAAAAATCAGGTTTCTTTATGCCCTCAAATTTTGTTTTGGTCTAATAAAAATTCAAGGTACCTCCTAAAGAATCCTCTGACCCTCTAAATATTCGATGAACTTATTCTGACCTTGTAGGACCTAGAAAAATCAAAACAAGTAGGTCAAATTCAAGTATTATCAATCGAGGCCTTAAAAATCAGGTTTCTGTATTCCCTTAAATTATTTTATAGTCTTATAAAATTACAGGGTACCTTTTAACTTATCCTCCGTCCATCGTCATTCTCGTTGAACCTATTCTGAGCTCGTATGACATTGAAAAATTAATGAATGTAGGTGAACCCCAAAGAAAATTTACTTAGGCCCAAAAAATCAGGTTTCTTAATGCCCTTAAATTATTTATTGTCTTCATAAAATTACAAGCTACCTCTTGAGTTATTCTCTGTCCCTCTCAAGATCCATTAGACCTATTTTGACCTTACATGCCCTTGAAATATTAAGAAAAGTATGTCAAACCGAAGGATAATGGATTAAGGCCCAAAAAATAAGGATTTTTGATGCATTAAAATATTTTTATGACACTTAAAAATCTCAGGGCAACTCCTGTGTCATTTTCCACCCCTCTTAATATTAAGTGAACCTATTTTGACCTTGAATGACCTTAAATAATTTAAAAAGGTAGGTCGAACTCAAGTAAAATTGATTGAGGCCCAAAAAATCAGGTTTTTTCCTGCCTTTAAATTATTTTTTGGTCTTATTAACTCACAGGGCACCTTCTAAGTTATCCCTCATCCCTCTCATTATTCAATAAACCAATTTAGACCTTGCATGACCTTTAAATTTCAAGAAAATTACGTCAAACTGAAGGATAATGGGTTAAGGCCGAAAAAATTAATTTTTTTAATGCTCTTAAATATATTTATGGTCTTATAAAACTACAGAGTATCTTTCCAGTCGTCATTCCTCCCTTTAAATTTTTCTTGAGCCTTTATTCACGTCGTATGGCCGTGAAAAATCAATAAAGCTAAGTAAATTGCGAGTTAAATTGATTTAGGCCGAAAAAATAACGTTTTTCGTGCCCTTAAATTTTTTGTTGATCTAATAAAATTACAAGGTATCTCCTAAATTATCCTCCGACTTTCTGAATTTTCGATAAACTTATTTTGACCTTGTTGGACCTAGAAAAATCAATCAAAGTTCGTCAAACACAAGTATTATCGATAAACGCACAAAAAATCAGGTTTTTTTATGCCCTAAAATATTTTTATGGTCTATAAAATTTACAAGGATCCTTATCGGTCACCCAATGTCACTCTGAACTTCAAGTGAACCTATTTTGACCTTGCCTGACCTTGAAATATTAAGAATTGTATGTCAAACCGAAGGATACTGGATTTAGGCTCAAAAAATGTGGAAAACGGTTGACCCTAAGGGCCATCCCTGCAACTTCCCGCCAATTCTGTACCTAAGCGCTTAATTCAACATATTACAATGTTTTTGAGCTCGAAGATATGTTTTTTTTATTTTTGAGCTTTCCGAACGCAAACACTAGCTGTTCTATGCTTTTGAGTTCTTCGAGTCCAAAAGTCTGATGAAAGTTTGATAAAACACTATTTTTTGAATTTTCAAACAGCTATTATATAAATTTTGAATGGATCAACTGATTTTCACGGCGTTGGCGGCAATCGATGTAGTTTTGAGAGCTTTGATAATTATACTATTTCATCAAAAACGATTCGAAATGAAATGTCGGAACTGTGTTAGAAAAACACTTGTTCCCAATCATTTCGTCAATAATATCTTTCAAACCAATAAATCGATTTTTACGTTTTTGGTAGCAATCGATGCGGATTTTTGAGTTTTAATGATTATTCTATTTTATCAAAAATGATTTAAAAAGAAATGTCGGAGTTATATTAAAAAAATGATTTTTTGGAAATTTTTTGTTCACGATATCTGTCAAACGAATCAACCAATTTTAATTGATCTGGCGGCGATTGACGTGGTTTTATATTGTCTAGAGCTGATTTTTTTTGAAATCAATCGTTAAAGCCGTTTGAAAGCTCTCCAAAAAAAGCCACATTTGAAAAAATTTTTTTTCTTAATTTTTTTAAGATTTCTCAAAATCTACTAATTCGAATCGGTTAAAATTATACTTGAAATTTAAGTTTGGCATAGCCGA